TATGCATTTAATGCCTGGCACGAGTAGCTGAGAATATACAAGACTTGGCTGCTAATCCTGAGACATTCTGTTAAAACAACTGCGAGTTCTCCCCCAGAGATGGATGAATTCCTACAGCAAACAAAGCAGCTCCTTTAAAATCACCTACACCCCAACTCCACCAGCAGGACTGCAAGGGCTGGGAGCTCTGCACACATTTAGGGTCCCACCAGAGCATTAGGATTGTTTGCTGGGTGATGGCACTCACGAGAAGGTCTTAATTAGGAAATATTTATTAAAATGAGCAAGGCCCTCCCATAATTTTAGAGTATATTTCTTTCAATAAAAATTAACTACAACACATACCAAAACTGCAGTGTGAGCAGAGCCCTGATACTGATATATATATATGTATGATTTTGTAAACTAAACCAGTGCTAATATGAATTTAAAAATAGCCTCATGAAGGAACTACTCAACCCTGCACACCCACATTATTTTCAGTTCTATAACAAACATTAATGTTGTTTTAAGAGTCTTTATATATGAAGGGAGAAGCCATGTAGGTAAGACATGGAAATCCAAAGAAAGACACTCAAAATTTTCTTTCCTCCCTGGGTGAATAACCCCAAGGTGTGACTTCCCCAGTAGCTGGGAAAGTGGCTGAGGGATCTAGACCACAGTTTAGAGTACATCAAACTCAAGATATGGAAGTTCCAGCATTGTCCCAGGTACAATAATTTAGTTCTTCCTCAGCTCTTCCCCTGCTTCTGTCCAAAGAAATCCCAAGATCCCTTCCACCAACCTCAGCTTCTGATTTTCTGATAAACTTCTGGACTCTCAAGCACGACTTTTCATGCTGGCTTTTTAACTTCTCTTAATTTTTCCCCCAGCTTTTTCTGCTCTGTATTCTTTACACCTTCCTTACTGAACTGGTAACTCACCCTCAGTTCCAGAGGAAAAAAACATGTTATTTTTCAACCCATTTGAAACTTTGAGTTTGATCCTGAAACCCCTAAAGTCAGAGGCAACAAGGACATTCCATTCAGTGGGAACAGGACAGACCCAGGCTCCTGGACAGTGTGTTTTCAATCAGGGAGCCTTCCCATTGAAAAGGAAATCATTTGCATCGTATTTGTATTCATTGTCCACCTCCACAGGAGGGGAAATGTGCTGAGCAAAAAGGTTAAGTGTGCTGATGCCAGGAGGGCAGAGCTGATCCAGGGATTGCATCAGAAGCCCAGTGCAGTCCCAGCTCAGGGGAGCCAGACCTGTTTGTTATGGCACATGAAAGGTCAGCTGAGATCCCTGTGGGTCACTTCATCCCAGGGACAGTCCAAGTGCCCCAAATCCAAAGCTCAAGTGAAAGGAGGTACCAAAAGGCAGCTGCTGCAGCCCCTCTGACAGTGTTTACTCACATTTGTCACTTGAGACCAACAGAGGAATATATCCTCCTGGCAGTGTTTATCAGGGACCCTCGGCTGGAAAAGTGAGGCAGGAGTTCCCTGGGCCTGGGGCAGAAACACTGGTGGGGGCTGTCCCATCCCTGGGTTCAGAGAATCTGCTGGAGAACCTGGGAAACACAACCCAGCCAGACAAGCTGATTTTCAGAAGGCTGCAAGTTGCTCCAGAGATGGATCTCTCTCCTCTGGAAAGTTTTAGGCTCCTGCAGAAGATTGTGAGTCACTTGTTTTCATGTTTCATACAATGTTACTTTTCCTTGCTATAATGTTTGACTTGATATTAAATATTTCCTCTGGTGAGAAAACACTCAAACCCTTAATTTTAATTCCAAGAGGCTTCCCAGAGCTCCCAGTGTCCTTTCCCACTGTCTTTCACCCGCTTCATTTATATCTGCTGGATCATTTTTCTCCTCAGCTTTCAGTTTAGAGCTGAACCTCACAGTTCATCACCACTTCAATTGTCTGGGATGATGAACAGCACCTTCTAGCCCTGCTAGGAGGGACCAGTAACAGTGGGCAGCTCTTCTGGCAGCTCCTTCCCAGCCAGCCACGACAGGAGGGATGGAATGGGATCTCCCATCCTGGGGGAACACCTAGTTATCAAATATCTGAGGTTGTATCCAAACATATCTTCCTGAAGATTGATACCGAGGAAACCTGGTGCAAACATCAGCCAAAGCAGGCTCCAAAGACTTGGAAAAGCACATCACATTCAACAACACAGGTACCAGCAGGAATGAAACGTCTGGATTTTGACAGCCTTGAACAATTCAGTAAATTCTGACTCTGATGGGAGTCAGGCAGTTGCCCCTGAGAACTGGGCAGTGGCTTCTGGGAGGAAGGAAATTGCTGCCACATGCAGTAAATAAAAAGAAGGTTCTTTAAAAAAAAAAATACACACATAGTTGTGCTGCAGAATCATTCCATTCAGCCTGGCCTGAAACACAGGCAGCTACAACCCCATCATTCATCTCCAACATAAACACACAGTGGGTTAGACTTGCAGTAACATAGGTTGGGATTTTTAGTAGATGACATAAATAAATGTATTTTTATATTTCCTGACCACATTAAGCTCGAAATCAGGAGTTCTAAAATGTGAGCCACACACTGTAAGGCTTCTAATGGCCAATAAATTCAGACAGTCACACTGGAGCAATGTTTTCTCCTTAAAGGTACATTTTGCTGCAGTGGATAGAAATACAAGGGGACTTGTTTTTTTATGGCTTTGTGATTATATGTAGCTGAACATGATCATTCAATAAAGGTTAAAGTTCTCTTAGGAGGACAGCAAGATGGAAACCACTTCAGAAGGCACAATCTCAGATCCCAAATATTATTTCTACATGGAAAGACATTAGTAAGGAGAAGGGGGAAGGTTGGGGAAAATTACTTTCCCCCAAAAAAAAGAGCAATCCTGGAGAGGAAAGGTAAAACATCCCAGCTCAAGAGCATCAATGTATTCCTCTGTTCCTGTCCCACCTCTGCTACACTAAGAAAGCACAAAACAAGTTTTATCCTGCCCAGTGCATCTACTTCCCATTTGTAAAGTAGGGATTACAGTGCTGGAATTCCTCCAGGTGGGGTTAAAGGAATGAATGACCTTAGAGAATCACCAGTGATACTTCAGAGCTAAAATACTGCCATGCTAAAGGTTATTTTTAATCTTTAGCCCTTTCAGCACTTCCAATTGAAGATCAACATTATTACAATGACATCCCACACTGGGAAATGGAATACAACAGGTATCAGGAATTTTTCAACTACCTTCAAGTGGGATTTTGCTGCATGATGGCAAACAAAATTAATAAGAACCTCTCCAACCAGCCATGTTAAAAACCCAGCTTGAAAAATCAAGTGTTTAAGAGCTACAACACCAGAATTAAAGCTGCCATGTGCAGTCCTAATTCACCTCTCCTGTGTGACACAATTCAAAGACATTTTTCTCCTAACTCACCTCTCCTGTGTGACACAATTCAAAGATATTTTTCCCCGTGGCCTCACCCCATTTAGGGGGCAGGATGAACAGAGCTATTCAGTATTTCTCTTTTTTTTTTCCACCTTTTGCAGTCGATGTGTGGCCTCAGTTTTATTTATAGCATGTCATTTAAACTCTTCACCGAAAACAGGATTATTCATATCCTTGTGGGTTTTAATATAACACTTATCACAGAAATATTTGCTTCCCAAACATAACAAATGTCTCCTGACAAAACCCCTGCCAGGGAGGTGGGATGGCAGCACAGCCCCCCGAGCCCAAATGCTTAATCAGAATCAGAGGTCCCACAAGACTGTTTGGATTAGCATGAGATCATCTGAATGTAACACAGGGTGTAATATATCCTTGGGGTTTAGCAAACCAGTGGTAACAAAACCCTGGTTTTTTGGAGGGAAAGTTCCAAAACTTCCCCTGCCCTGAGTCCTGGGTTGGAGGACCCATCTGTTCCCACTCAGGGTTGCCCAAAGCATTTGCAAACCTGGTTTGCTGTGGTTCAAAGCACCTCCTTCTGTGGCCATGGGCAAACACTGAGCAAGGCCTAATCTGGAGCAAAGTAAGGCAGCAGAGGGAGACTGGAATGAAACTCTTCCTTGATTTTGGAAGATTCCCACTGAAATTTGCATTTTAAAAGGGAAAAAAAAAGACCCCTAACTTTGTCTGCATGTCCTTACTTAGGACACATGTACATGCAACATGGTTATGGAATACACCTAATCCCAAAGGTTTTAGGTGTATTACCAAAAATTTATCATATCTAATTATACATATAAATATATAATTTATATTATATATTTTATATATTCTATATGTTATATATTTTATTTATAAAAATATATAAATCAAATATATGTAATAAAATATATAGTAAATATTGTATGTGATATCTCTATTTTTATTATCTATTTATTATATTCTTATTAAATTTATATTTATATATTATTTATATCTATAATATTATATGGTTATATAATTATTTTAATTTATTATTTAATATTATGTATTATTTATATTATGTATTATTTTTGTATTTATATTATATATTTATATATTTTATAATTATGTATAATCTATAAGAATTTATCATATATAATATATAATAATAAATAGTGTATATAACATAAAAATAATATGTATAACAATTTTAATTTTTATATAAAAAATCATATCCGAAACATCTTTAAATTTGTAGGACCCAATGTTTTTTTCCAGCAGTTAATCAAGCATCAGCAAACTTTTAACAAACAGACTTTAGTTCAGGCACTATAGAATCATTCTTCTCACAAACAAGACAATTTCCATCCACCCTTTTGGATTTTGATGTGGGCTACAAATTATTAACTCTGCTTTTGAGACACCATCTCTGCAGAAAAACGCTGCTGTAAGTTCTTCCACCAGAATGGAATAGCTGAGAAATATAATTCCCAAGTTTATGTGAGCCTGGAGTCCCACCTGCACACCCTGTCAGGGAAATCAATCCATAATTCCCTGTCCTTTTGCTTGTTTGACAACAGCCCCAGAGAAATTCTTATGTTAGAAGGGTCTTTGAAAACATTTACTCACTGTTCTGATCTCTGGACACTCTTCTGGTCCGTGTTGCTGATCTGAACCTCCCTTCAGTGAGACTGTTTTCAGAGGAGATCTGACAGCTGAAAGGAAAATGCACAGTGCTCCCAGTTCATATCCACAGGCCTGGAAATCTGGCATGTCTGGAGCATTATTATCATTACTATTGTTATTATTACTATTATTATTACAAATATATTTTGGAATTTGTAGTTTTGGCATAACTGGGAGATTCATTGTAAAGAAGAGCTCTGCTTTTTAAAAATGTGTTCAATCACCTTGGAGCATCTCAAATTCAAGTATTTCAGCAGTGACTGGAACTAAGACTCATTTTTGATGTGATGTAGTAAAAACAAAGCTCACAGCCACGACCTTATTATCACTTAGACGCAGTTTTAGAAATACTACCATTATTATTGTGTTCAGACTGTTTTTAACCCTTCCCAGTGCCAAAGGCTCTCAGAATTCATCTAAGCCCTGCTGTAATTAGCCACACTTTCAACAGATTCAGCTGCAGATCAGCCCCCAGAGCAATAAAGAGGCTGAGATAAAGCACTGGGGCAGATATTTCACTTCAAGAACACATTAAATCTCCAGTGGCATCACTTGGTGTTTGACTGGAGCAGAATTTGAGCACTAGTAAGGCCTTGCCTCTGAGATTCATCCCTGAACAAGCAAAAGTAAAAGCCATTGCTTTTTTTCTCTGCTTGTTTTGCTTGTTTTAATAAAAAAGCTACAAGGAGGTCCAGGCCATGGCCCCAGACAACTGACACTGTAAGGGCTGCACAAGAATTGGGACTATCCCAGTTCACCCTCACACTTTCCCTGGGAAATTTTAACTTTTCCCTAGGAAACAAGGAGCCTGGTAGTTCTGAGGCTGTGTGAGGCAAGTCCTGCTACTCCAGCCCAAGGAGAGCTGTCCTGGGGCTGCACAGAACCTTCTGCACTCCTTTGCTGCTCTTCTCCCCCTGTCCTGGCCAGGCCACTGAACCAGCACTAGGAGTTTATCCCTAAATCCCAGGTTTCCAGCTCACTGGTGCCCTGGGCAGCCCTTGTCACTGGCATTTTCCAAACCCTCTCCCAGATGAGGGGCTGAGGAAGCCAGCCCAGGCCAGGCTGGCAGTGCCAGGCTGCCAGAGCAGTGCACTGCTGCCTCTCCCTGGAGCTCAGCTCCGAGCTCTGCAAGGCTCTCAGCTTTCCTCTCCAGCCCAAAGCTCTAACCCTGGACAGAAGCAAAACCATTCTCAGTGTCTTTAGTCATTAAAGGCCTTTATCTGCCACTCCCAGACAATTTGTGGCTGTTTGGTGCATGAGACAGGAGTGGTGTCCTGCCTTCCAGGGCAGCACCACAGATAAAATGCTCAAGGGTGTGTTTTAAACTGAATTTGAAGCACTGAATTGGAATGTTTCATAATCTAAGCTGACTGTCCATAGAAAGAACAATTGTATGATTTTAGTAATGACCTAATTCAATAATGAACTAATTCAACCCCTTCCAAAACAACTCAGGAACTCTTACTCATTATCAGCTCGGGGACCTTCATTAATTACCACTATTCTTCCTTGCTGCCTGTATTTATTTTATGGGTGCAGGGTAAAGATGGCCATGGAAAGGAAATAGAACTGTGCCTTTTTGTTCCTACTCACAAACAGCGATGGGAAAACCTCCAAGAGCATTCTGGATGTTTTGAAGTTGTGTCAGGACACTTCATTTTCTCTCATTCCCAAGCTTCAGAAGCTTCCTCTTTGTGATTGCAAACAGATGATGGCAGAGCCTGCAATTAGGCCAATCCAAGGGAATTCCAATCAGGGGTAGCCTGCAGCAGCTTGCAGGGCTCCCATCAAATGCAGGCCCACCCTTAGCATGGAGCTGTCAGCAGGAAAAGAGAAATTCAAATTGATTCTTAGAAGCAAACTCTTGTGACCTTCCTCACAGCACCCAGGGCTTTGTAACATCTGTCATTTATTATTGGGATTTTCAAGCAGAAACTGAGCCTGGGCATTCAAATTCCAAGATGCAACATAAAGTCTCAGTTTTGACCATTTGGGAGTTCCCCAAAAGGGAGAAGTTTCTGCTCCTCTCTGCATACACCAAGAAACTTTATTAAGAATAAACAATTTAGGAGCTTGTTTGGAAATGACCCCTTTAAAATGGGAGCTTTTAGGACAACTAGAATAGATCTCAGATTTACCCTGTCTTTGCCAATCTTTATGGTATTTCTTTGCAAAACAAGAGATGGCAGACTCTCAAACAGTTTAATTTTTCCAAAAATTCCCCCAGTAAAAGCAGTGATAACAGCTCCTCAGTGAGCTCCATGGGCACAAAACAGGAGAGCACAAGAGTGTAGGAGCTGCTAAGGAAATATGGGGTAAGTTTTAGAGTTACCCATCTCCAGCTCATCTCAAGGATCTCAGGGATCAGGAGCTCAGGATTCAAACACAAGATCTTCCACGCTCTGGAGGTTTTCTTCCCATGGAGACTGGCTTCAGAAGCTGCCCACAGAATTCCCAGGATACAAGACTGGTGTTCCCACAGTGGGAGGCCAGCAGAGGTGGGCACCAAGGCATCCTCATTTCACTCACTCCCAAAATTGCCTGTTTTTCTCTGAAAAGCAAGACCAGTCGAGCTTTAGACAAAAAACTTTCCAAAACCAGCTAAGGAAACGCAAGGAAAGTCATTTTGTAACACAGAAAAATCCAAGCACAGTTATACAAGTGTTCTTGTTCCAAGAACAATTGTAAGTGGGTTTTGTTTTGATTTTGAAAACCCTCCAATATCTCAGTGTAGTTGTATTAGACCACACACTGGAAAAATTACGTGGTTTTCTGGTTGCTGTATAATAAGAAAGGATGTTTCTCTCTGAGACAGAAAAGGCCTATTCAAGGTTGGGAAGGGAGTGTAGTTTGGAAGAATGAAGAATCAGGAAGCTGGGGAGATAGGTCATAATTGTGTGAGGATGATTTGGTCTGGTTGTCTGAACAGCTGCCAGGGAATTAGGAAAGACAGCCTCTACTTTGGAAGGGCTGAAAGGAAAAAAACAATAAATACCAGTTTTAGGGTATCTTCTGTTAGGGGTGACCCAGGCCTGGTGTACATCTGGAGATAAGAGGTTCTGCAACACAAAAATAGAAAATGAAGTGGGAAAATAAATAGCAATTTGTTTCAGGTAGCGGGGTGTGTGCCAAAGTTTTTCTGATACGGTCACACAGTGTTCCACAGCAGGAGAATCCATAAATACCTACATATTTATGGATGAAGATCCACTCCAGGCTGTGGACAAGTGAACAGCAGATAAAACATCCCCAGAGTCAGTGGTGACTCTCCCCTGACTTCACACCCACACAGTGAGCCCGTTGCAAAACCCACTTCCCAGATTATTTTACTGGGAAATTCTGGATGGAATCCACCAAGAACATTTTTTTTTTAAATTCTTTTTACCAGTAAAACACAATAAAAGATTTTATAGCCTTGATGTGTTTCTGGCACCTTTTAAAAACTGCTGCTAATAAAACTTTTCCAAGAGGAAAAAATGACCAAGTTGTCACAATGTAAATATCTCATGGGCTTGTTTATGCAGAAAACTGGGAAACAACATCACAGGAGAAGATTGTGTCAAGAGAAAGCCTTAATCACCACAACTCTGGCATGGCACAGCACTGCAGTGACTCTGCTTTGCTGTCCTACCCAGTTCTGCAGGAGATAAAACGTGACAAATGACAAATAAGTGCTTAAAAACGTGCCTTGGGCACCAAACTCCCCTGCAGGCTGACCCACCTATCCAACACTGCCCCTCCTGTGCATCATAAATCACAAGGGATATTCCAGAGTGGATTTTCAGTGCTTGAAAATGGTCCCACCCAACGAGCAGGAAGGCAAACAAGTGTACAGAGCCCTGCTCCTGACAACATTCCCACTCTAATTTCCATGCCTTTTTTCACTTCGGAGGTCAGAGGCTCCACACGAACTAAAAAGTTGTTGCTTGTTTTATCAGGCAACGTTCTGCCGTTAATACTTTATCACTGAATTGGCCACGAGAGGGCACCGGTTCTGCTCGAAAATAAAAGACCAAAAAAAAAAGACAAACTCGATGAGCTAAATAAATAAATGGGGGGGTTGTTTACCAACTGTCCAGCTGCAAAAGCACAGCAGAGCGGGTTCCACGGCAGGAACCACCCACCCCCAGTGTGCAGCAGCTCCCGGGGAGCACAGCAGGGAGGAGAACATCACCCACCCGGGGCTGGAGCTGCTCCTGCTGCCCCTGGGGGACTCCCCTGGCTCCCAGACTCCCTTTCCTCAGGGGGGCTGTGGGAAAGGTTCCCACTCCTGGTTGTATCAGTGTTGTCCAGAGCCTCCCTCTGCCCTTTCCTGCAGTTCCCTTCCCTGCTGCTCTTGGGAGGCTCTTCCCTTCTCCCTCAGCACAGGAAGGTTTTCCACACCTGACAGAAATGTCTGAAAACACTGTTTGCAGCCCAGCAATGGGTTACATCTCGTTTCATGGCCTTTTAAATGCACATTATTCACAAGAGGGGACTGAAAGGGAACTCACAGAACTAAAAGAATGAAGAGCTTGAGCTGAACCTCCAGACTGGAGAGCTGGTGTTTCCACAGACATCACCCTAAGGAATTCCTCTAGAAACAAGAGAAAAGAAAAAGGATATTATTTTCCAAGCCTGCATCCTGATTCAAAATGATCCATGTAAAGACAAAGCCCTTGGTCTAACAAAACCTGTCAGTGAGATCTCCCTGGGAAACACCATTTGGGACACAGACATTTTCACCAAGAGAAAAATCATGGAATCACAGAATCCTGGAATGGTTTGGGTTGGAGGGGACCTGAAAGATAATCCCATTCCACCCCCTGCCATGGGCAGGGACACCTTCCATTGTCCCAGGTTGCTCCAAGCCCCGTCCAACCTGGCCTTGGACACTTCCAGGGATCCAGGGGCAGCCACAGCTTCTCTGGGCAACCTGGGCCAGGGCCTCCCCACCCTCCCAGCCAGGAATTCCTTCCCAATATCTCACCTAAATTTCCCCTCTATCAGTTTGAACCCTTCACTCCTTGTCCCATCACTACAATTCCTGATGGCAAATGTCTCCCAACACCGTGGATGTTTGGAGATGGAAATGTCTACCAACCCTGTTCAGGAGCCAGTGCAGTTGGGTGGGAATGTATAGATCCCTGCAAAGCTGATTTTGCTCACACAGGAAAATCCCTCCCTGCTAACAGATTCCTATGGTTAAGCTAAAGCTTGTCCTGCACATTTGACTGTGGATACAAAAGGATTGTTCTTTTTTGTTTTGCCTCCAAGTGAACAAAATGCTGTTTTCGACTAGATGTTTCTCCCGAGTTTTTGTGGCAGCTGGATCCATTCCATGCAATTCCTGTGGGAAAGTCAGTTTATTCTGAATGCCCTGGCAGGTTTGTGGCAGTCCAGAGGAATCGCCCAGTTAGGACACATCTGTTGTGAAGAACACCAGGTAAGGCAGGAATGGGGGGAAATGAAAATAACTCCATTTATAAGCAGGGCAGGAGGTTCTGGAGCTGCCAGAGAACATGAGGGTCAAAAGGGTTTTTCCAGGGCCAGCTTTACAGTCTGAACTTATTGAACCTTTTTGCACTGTTTGAATAGCTGTTTATTCTACTGATTTGTAAAGGTACCTGCCAGAAAAACAGAGCAATGAATAGTTCCAAAATAGATGTATTGATTTGAAAAGTAATGGATTGAATATTCCACAAGGGACTGTCCATAAGACTGTTTTCTTCAGTGCAGGGGGTTGTAAAATCATAATGTGATTCTTGTGCTTGAGCAGTTCATGAGGTACTGAAATGATTTCTGATACTGCTACTAACAAGAAGAATAATCAGGCCAAAGAGTGAAAAAAATATCCTGATTTTGATTCATTATCCTGAGCTCCAACTGAGCTCCCAGCTCCCCAAATACGAATCAGAGAGTTACAAATGTCTAAACCCATAACAAACCCCTAAAATATTCACAGAATCATTAGGGTGTCGATCACAGATTCTGTGAGCTTCTGTGAGTTACCCAAATGACGAATTAGGTCACCACAACTGCCTAAAACCAGAATAAACTCCCTAAAATGTTGTTAAAGCCCCACTCTGACTTTGGAAGAGAATTATCAGCACCCCTGTAAAACCAGCCAGTCCTTCTGCCCTGGGGTAAAGCCTCAGCCACAGAAACCACTGACAGACCCCCCAGAACACAATTTGTTTTCTCCTGCCTTCTTTCCATGTGACTGTTGGTCATTGCTGACAAAACACCAAGGGTAACACTACATTTAAATGTACTGACTAGGCTGAAGAGCTGCACTGGACTGTCAACATCTAAATTAAAATCACATTTGCAGCCCTTTTAGTCCAAATAAAAGTACTTCTAGAGTATTTAGAGCTGATGTTTTAAATGTTTGTAGTCTGCTCTTTTTTTTTCCCGTTGCAATCCAAATGTTCCCGTTCAAAATGCAGAGGTGGAGATATTTTTAATCTGAGACTAAAGCCTTTGGTGCTGAAGTAGTTCCATTTTCCCAAGCCAGCTGTGCAGTTCCTGTGTTAACCAGGAGACATGGAATGATCATTAGTAAACACAGAGGAACCAGAGGCCTCTGAGATTGTACATTTACTCCATGTTCTGCAAAAGGGTTCCTTTGCCTTTTGGGTTTTACCAAACTTAGGGGTTTATTTTGGTCAGGCACTCCAATGCAAAACATGACTTTTTATAAGATATTTGTACTTCTTCTCAGTGAAACACATGAGAACTGTATCAACTGGGGGGAAAAACTGCTGCTCTACAAAGCCCTTCTGAAACTTTAACACAGTTAAAATAGTTAAACTATTGCTCCACCAAGAGCTTAATTTGATGTCACAGTTAAAATTGAAAATTGAGGCTGGGACTGGATAAAAGGGACATCACTGAGATAAAAGCTGCAATTAATTAAAGCTGCAATAATTGCAAGTGTTAATTTTCCTTTACAACTTGCCCAGGGTTTGCTGCCATCACATTCAGGGGTAAGAGACTGGAGCACAACCACTTCTCTCCTGGCAGTTTGCAGGGGTTTAGTTACTGACCCCAGTGGGAGAGTTTGGAACTCAGAACAACACAGAGACTTTCAGAATAAAGTAATCATGGAAAACAGGCAGGTCTTAGTGGTTATAATCAGGTGTTTCATTCTTCCCTGGTTTTCCTCACCCTGCCAGAAGCTGCATCTTCCACTTCACCCAAGTGCTGCTTTTGGCCTTTGCCGACATGGAACCTCCTGAGCACTAAAAATCAGCTTTTCCCTTGGATCCCCTCAGCTGTGGAGCAGCAGCTCCTGACAGTGCTCTTCCCTTGCCAGGTGGACCGTGCAGAGGAGCCCTGAGGATGGACACGCTGAGGGGCTGGGCTGTGCTGCTGCTCCTGGGGCTGGGCACGGCCCAGGACTTCCAGTGGACAAAGAACAACCCCGGCTCCTTCTACTACGGCACCTTTCCAGCTGGTACTCCGGGGCCACCCTTGCCTGGGGGGTTCCAGCCTTCCACATCCACCTGGGGGGTTGCACAAGTGACCACAAAGGTTTTCCTTGTGCTTCCAGGGAAAGGGCAGA